CTTCTTCTTCTTCTTCTTCTTCTTCTTCTTCTTCTTCTTCTTCTTCTTCTTCTTCTTCTTCTTCTTCTTCTTCTTCTTCTTCTTCTTCTTCTTCTTCTTCTTCTTCTTCTTCTTCTTCTTCTTCTTCCTCTTCCTCTATCTACAAAACACTCCCTCCAAAAAAAATGAGAAAACTACCACAATTTCTCCACCAACCCTCTCACGGCCTCGAGGACCTTTTCGTCCTGCGGGCTCTTTTCCTTCTGGGGCAACAACCCGCCCGTGGCCCTCGCGCAGATAATGTCGACTTGATCCCTGCCCACACCTCTCTCGGTCAGGGTGGTTTTGAGGCCGAGGTCGCGCACGAGCTGCAAGATGCGGTCGCCGACCAGGTCGCTGTCCTTGAGATTGTCTCCCGTTGAAGAGATCTCCGCGGCGCCGCTGCCACCGGCGACACGACCCGTAGTGTACGGCAGGATGGCGGCGATGGACTCTGCGTTCTCGGGGGACTGGCGGGCCTTGACTTTCACGACGTGGCCCAGCGTCAGGCACGAGGTGATGCCGTGGGGGATGCCGTAGGGCGAGCCGAGCGCGTAGCCCAGCGAGTGGGACAGGCCCAGACCGCCTTTGAGGTTGCCGCCCACGAAGCCGAGGGAGGCATAGGCGGCCAGCAACAAGCCCGTCATGACGTCCTCGTCCTTGGGGTTTTCCTTGTACTTTGGCAGCAGTCGGAAGAGCTCCGCGATGGAGTTCAGGGCGACGATGCGGCACGGCACCCACGTCGTCGACGGGTGGTACTGGCTCTCGACGGCGTGGTCGAGGGCGCGCAGCCCCGTGGAGAGGAACAGGTGCGGCGGCGTGTGCAGGGCGAATTTCGGGTCGTAGAAGATGTACGCCGGGTACGTGTTCGGGTGGGCGATGCCCGTCTTGGTGCCGTCGGCCTGCGTGTAGCCCGCGATGGCGGTACACTCTGCGGCGGACAGCGTGGTCGGGATGGCGATGTGGACGAGCCACTTGCTCGCCGTCTCGTGCACGCGGTACGCGATGGCCTTTGCGCTGTCGATGGGCGACCCGCCCCCGACCGAGATGATGGTGTCGATGGTACTGTCACTCTTGACGATGGCCGTCGCCTCGTCCAGCTGCGCCACGGGCGCGTGCTCGCGGATGTTGCTAAACGTGCCGGCGTGGTGGTCTCCGGTCTTCAAAAGCTCCTCGAGTCCTTTGATGAGCGGGGTCTTGGTCGCCAGCGAATTGCCCGTGATGATAAACGCCTTGGATTTCTCCGTCGGCAGTGCCGAGAGGATGTGCTTCTGCACCACCTCCGGGCCGTAGTACAGTCCCTTGAGGGCGTTGGGCCTGTACATGCCCTGGAGGGGGTGGAGGCTGGAATCCATTCTGGAGATGTTGCGTCGTGGTTTTGTCGACGTTGATGTGGCTGATGCTGATGCTATTCCTGCTCCTCGAGAACTCGGGGTCCAGTTGACAATACGGGCGGGCGACACTTGGGCTTTTGTCTGTAGAGCGCGGAGCATCAGAAGGACCGCCGGGCGAATTTTATCGATGACCAGAGGACGAGGGGGCGAAAAGGATGGGATGAACGACAAAGATGTGCCGATTGTGATGCTGGCTTATGATGCGGGGCCTTGCCTCGTTTAAGCCTCGTTCGTCATTGTCAGCAGAATAAATAATGATAAGTAATAGAATATTAAGAGTAGCCAAGCAACCTAGCAACCAAGCAACCAAGGTCAATGCCTTGTCCATCACTCGGTAGGTAATAATTCCCCTCACGAGGCTGCATATCAAAGTCACCACTCACCACTCGCTTATTCTCAGCCTCGGCTTTCACGAGTAAAAAGCTTTACAGCCCATCAATGACCATGCTTCAACTCATCCAAATGTGCCCCCATACTTCTCCAGAACCACCGGCTGCCATGTGGCTGTAAGAAGTCTCCATATGCAAACATCTTCAGAACGGGAACCACCTGCTCCCAACTTAGGAGGCTCATCATTCGCGCTTGTCTTGCAAAAAGAGTGTTGAACAGCATGGTCGACGCGTCTTCATCTTCCCCTTCAATGTGAGCTACATCCTCGGCGAAGCCGCTATCAACTCTCTGCAGATGAGACCCTTCCGCCCCAGAAAGCAGTGCTCTTGATCCATAACTCCCTCGTCTCCTGCCAGCACTCCCTGGAAGAACGCTTTGCCACTCCGCTATCGCGCCCACGAATAGACACCATAAATGTGCGTTCGCGTGGATGAGCAGCTCCTGAGGACTGCCTACTCGAAACGCGGCGGTAAGAGCGTCGAACAGAAGAGTCTCACGCGATGCTGCGGGATCGTAGAAATTCTGGCCATTGATCCACATGTCAAAGAGACCTAGCACTCGCATGAGGTAGAGTGCTGCCATTGCAACTGCGGCTTCCGTCAAGCGGCTGCATTCGGACTGTGGCATTGCATCTGAGATTTCCGCAATACTCGTGGTGGTGGACACGGAGAGAACACTGCTTAAGCTGATCGAAGTCCCCTTGACCTGGTCAAAATAGTAATTCGTGAAGAACCCCTCGTCAATATACGCATGGGATGCCACCCAAAAGAAGATGGCTGTGGTATTAATGCTAGGGCCCTCGGCCTGAGCGATCAACTTTGCCAACGCGATGGCCTGTCGTCGACGGATGAGGAGGCTCCGAAGGGGTTCCATCGATACCACCATGTCCAAAGGCGTGGCTGCAGTTACACCGTCTGTGGCTTCTGGAATGGTTTCTTTCCCCGCGAGCAGGAAGATATATGGGTCGACTCCATCCCACATGGCCTTGTATACCTTTGGCCCAAACGTCTCGTACTCAAAGATAGGTTTCCTACGATGAGCCGAACTCAAGTGGATGTCGACAAACATTGCCAGCATGAAGAAATGCGGAGTTACAGCCCCCGGACTCTCGTCCATCAATTTCCTCAGCATTTGTCCATGCACCAGGGCAGCGTCAAGATTTCTTGCCGAAGCCTCGGCGTAGAAGTGCCAGAAGACTTGTTGAAGAAGAGTCATCTTGGCCAGTGGGCCCTGGTGCATGGGATCACTCCGAAGGATGCTCTGTCTGAGCATTTTCGAGCTGGTATTTCGCAGTTCCAGGCTGTATTTCATGTAGCCCGTCTCTTTGATACCACAAGTCACCATCATGGCCAGGTATGTGCTTAGACAAGCGAGCGCCGTGCACTGATCGTGCAGTCCTTGGACGATGTGCTTCCACGACTGAACGGCCGCCGGTGTGGAGATCCATCCCATGGGCGATTTGGTGACATCTGAACGTGTCGAGGGGAAGCGGCTTGCCTCGCGGAAGTAGGGAGAGTAGTATAGCGTCGGCAGCTGAATGTCTCGGATGAATGATATGACCTCGTTCACGCGCGGAGTGATGGAGAAGGAGAAACAAGAGAAAGGATCCGAGTTGCCGTGACGAATGAGTGTAAGGGGACTAGGAAGGTCGGACGGAGCTGGATCATCACCATGCTCAAGAGGAGCAAGTGTATTCGACTCGGTTTGTGCTTCATTGCCAGCAATGGGACGAGGTTGTTGGGAGATCGACCTTGAGTAGTCCCATAGTCAGTATCCTCGTAAAAGCCTCCTCTTGTGAAGAACATCTCACCTTGTTCCAGGCAGCTGAATGGACGCTTGCAACTGTTGGTTATCGCGGATCCTCTTCCATTTGCGATAGCTTCGTTGGACGTGGCCAAAGACTCTTTTGCGATGTGGCAAAGCCTTCCTGCTCTTCTGATCATGGTTGACCCACAGGAAATCGCCCGTGTAGGCGGGAGCTTGTTGTTGCTGTTGCACTTGAGAGTTGCTCGCAACCATATTAGACTCTTCAACAGCGCAGGAGAGTGGACAATGGGTGAGGGTTGTTCTAGAAGACCCCGGGACGTACCTCATAAAGACTTCTTTTGCTTCAACGCCACCCTGATCACTATACACACCAACTCCTCCCGCGGCACAGAGCCGTCCCGGACACCGCAATAGGTCTCTCCACGATGGTCAACCCACCAATGCATAATACAACATGACTTTCCTTGGTGCTAAGCACCCCAATCTGCAAGGCCCAACTGTAGCCAAGGGATTGCTGACCCAATGTGGAAGTAGGCGATGGAATTGATAGTGAGAGGAAGAGACTAATGCCCATCATGTAAGCAAGAGGGAAGGAGACAAGGACCCCAATTTCATCAGAGGCAAGCAGCCGTCAGGCCAAAGTCCGTCGATCCTTGGTATATGCCACTTGCAAAGAGTGCAGCAAATACAAATCGGGAGGTCGAGTATCCACCAGTCGGATGGTGGTACCCAGCGATGCAGCTGATTCGACCTTGTCAAGGTGGTCAATATCATGGCCCCAAGCGAGCATTGACTGTGAAAGGAATGTGTCCAATAGGACTTACCGTTGGTGCCCTTTTGATATGTGACTTAGTCATGATGCATTGGCATCTTCTTGTGAGGCACGGCAAACGTCCCACGAGGTACCGATGGTCAGGTGGCAATGCGCCATCTTTGGTATGGGCAGAGAATGTTGAGCAGGAATGTCGAGACGAGGAAATCACGACAAACATGAAGACTGAACAGAGCAACAAGAAAGTATTATGATTGGTTGGTGATACAGATGATTACCGCTTGCCCCGTGCAAGCCCCATGTGAATGCCCATCAACGCAAGCAATGCTTGAACAACGACCAGAATGCCGCCTACTTCGGCCCTATTACCATGTCTACCGCATGAAGAGAAGACAGTTGCTTGCAACAAAATCAGATTTCCACCGGCTGGAGTTCAACTTTGGAGCAGGAGTTTGGAAGGGGCCCGTAGGTGTAACCATTGGCCTGGAAGAGCTGGGGGACACCATGCCACCAGTCGCAAGCTGCGAGAAAGAGTTAGTTGACTCCAGAAGCAAACGCCTTGGACAGCGAAAGAGAGGACTCACCCAACCAGCCACCGGTGCTGGCATTGAATTGAAGCCCAGACGAGTTGAAGAAGAATCCAGCATAAAGGCTAGTGATGCTGGAGATACTGATTCCGACCTGGTTCCACTCTAAAAGACAGCTGTTAGCATTGGACAAGTGTTTAGTGTGTAAGGAGCACATACGTTGGTAGGGGCCATAGCCGATCGACAGGGGCCAAGGACCACCCAGATTGCCAGAGTAGGTAAAGAGCTGCTGGGAATCATTCAAGTAGCCTTGCCATGCCCACGATCTGTTGGACGAGAGTGCCGCATCACCGAGTCCTGCACCCGTATGGTACGAGTAGAGGTACAAGTCGGTCTTGTTAGATCCAGAGTCTTTGTGAGCACCATTGACCACTTTGGTTTGAAGGAGGTATCTGGCAGGTGGATCGATTGTTTGTCTCGTCTGGAGAGGTGATGCCGATGTGAACTGGAAGACGGACAGGATGGTGATGGTGAGAAGGTTGAAGAGCTGCATGGTGCTGAAAGTTTGACGGAGCTGCCCGGAGTATGGCGTGACTGGGACAAGGCGATGCTGATTTCTTGAGAGAGTAATGGGATACTTTTGGTAGACAGTAGAACGAATGAATGCACTTGTTGCTAAGTGAAGTATTGGCAAAAGTGAATATGGGTGATGGAAGTTGTATGTATGGGAGAGAAGTTGGTTTGATGGAGGGAGAAGGGCGAGTGAAGAATTTAAGGCGGGAGGATTTTCGATGGGAGGCTCCTACCTCTTCTTTGTATGAAATGGAATGGTACCTGACTAGTTTACGACGTGGTAGTAGCTTTTCTCACTTCTCCAGAAGCAAGACGATCATGTGGAAGGTTCTTCCCGCGGCATTTCTTTCTTTCTACTAGGTACGCAGCTGGGGATGTAACAAGTAGCGCGGAAGTCACGGCCTCATACGACAGATGGGACGGTGAGAGCGGATGAGCCCATTGGAATGTGGAGACGATGATGCCGATGAGGATGATCAGAGTCAAGCAAGCGAGCCAGAGTTTCCGTCTTTTGTCGTTTTCCGTGTCTTCGAGGCCCTTGGCGTGTCGATGGAGAACAGAGTGACATGCGAGGACATGCGAGATCCAGAACACAGCCACCAACCAGACTCAATCAGACCATGCAAAGTGGAGGACTTCCCCGTTTCTGTGCGAACCCGCATTTCTTCGGATGTCGGCTTCGTAAAATCAGTGACGAGTCGGGTGCTGAGACTTAAGACATGCTTAACCGCTGTTGCTGTTTAGCTGCGGACTACTCGGTAATGTCGTACGTGTGATTGTCACTTGTCACTCTTTCCATCCACTGCGGAGAGGGAAATACGTTAGATCTAATACCCATATAGAAGGCATACAGGTGCGAAGGTACTGATCAGAAGGGCAATTTGTAGGTGCTATGTAGGGTCAAGCTACATCATGATCGACAATTCGCCGAATTACCACCCGATGATCAAGGGTCAGTCGGTGGGCTGATGTACATTCTCCGTACGTGTGTAAAACGCGAGAAGGCTCCCCTGCTTATGTACCCCATTCAGGACCGATCATTCGCGTCAAAAATGTGCCCCCAGAATGCTCTAAAATGGTGCTTGTTCCCTTCCGTAGAAATCTCTTCAACTTCCTTGGGTGTCAATTCAAATGTAAAGACTCGCAGCATGTCGCTCATCCGCTGTTCCTTGGAGCTCGTGGTGATGGGCAAAACATTCTGGTCCACGCACCATCTCAGCAGTATTTCACCCGGGTTCACAGCATATTTCTTCGCCAATGACTCCAACAAACCATCAACTGGGCCTCCCTTCTCCCTGGTGACGGGGGTAAGGGGACCATAGGCAGCAACCCGAATGTCTTTGTTCTTATGGTAGGCAAGCAGGTCTCCGTGCTGTAGGTACGGATGGAATTCAATCTGGTTGATAGCCGGTCGGACTTTGCATGTCTGAAGAATAGCATCCAGGTGAGGCTTTAGGAAGTTGCTGACACCGATACTTTTGGCCTTGCCTGAAGCTGCGACCTCTTCCATTTGTGCCCATTTTTGCTGGAGTAGCTTGTCATCCCCTTTGGCGAAAAACGGAGCATGGATGAGGTACAGGTCAACGTAATCAAGTCCCATTTTCTTCAGGCTTCGATCAATGGCACTTGGGATGTCGTCGATATGGGTGATAACTTTGGTGGTGATAAAGAGCTGGTCGCGGGGAATCTTGCTCTCTTTGACCGCCTCACCCAGTTCCACTTCCGTGTTGTACACTTCAGCTCCATCAATGTGTCTATATCCCACCTTGATGGCGGTTTTCGTGGCATCTATAGTTGCCTGATCCTTGGGTGCGTCCGCACTGGTCTTGTACCTGCAAACCCAAGTCGTGGTCAGCCATCACTGATGTGTGAGACTTGCGGCGATGTGATGCGTAAGAGCCTTCGGCATGAACCAGATGATTCAACAGGTAGTAGTGATGTAATCTCAATCCGCCGCCTCAGACTTACCATGCCGTGCCCAATCCGTATCCGATCTGAACAACATCCTACAGTCAGCGGCACTGTACTAGCCGGAGGGAGGCGAGTCTCACTTACAAATGGTATCTTGTTGCCATCTGGCAGCTCCATATCAGGAATCTTGATGTCTAGTTTCGCCATTGTGGGGGGAAATGATGTGAATGTTCTATGATTCACTTGTGGTAACAGAAAACGGCTTGTTTGATAATGACCCGACCGATGAACACAGGATATGGCAGTAGCAAGTGATGGGAGACGAATCATGTATACACGAAAAAGATCGAACGTCCAACGACAGCTTGATAAAAGAATCGTCCTTTGGGTACAAAGAGGAGCAGGCCAAAGCCCGTGCAGTTCGTAGAGGTGGGGTAGAAGATACCCGAAGCTCGCAACTCCGAATCAATAAACCGTCGAATGGCACGGAGTCTGAACTCCTTACTCCATGACGTGCTCAACTCGCTAATGCCACAGTGCCGGCTGGTGCCCGTATGCCTCGAAGTTTGTCAGCATGTCTGCTAACACAAGCGGTACTTGTATCTCGACTCAACGGGAAGGTGAGTCGGGAACACCAACCCAATACAATAGGCCATGCATCACTTACCAGCCAATGCAAGGGCTTCCAAGTCCATCAAGCCAACTGCGTTCAAGAACCTTCATCGCCATCTGATGCAGTGGCACCGACGAGGCTTCGTCGACCCCCCAATCACCACCTGACTTGTACAGCTCTTGTATTGGATGGTTCCTCTCAAGCCAATATCGTCCTTTCCGGTGGTGTTGGACTTCCGCGATGATGGACGTGGCTCATTATCGGCGCACGGCGAGACAATTTTGATCTCATGAAACATAATGGGAAACCCAGATCGTCTCAACAGCAACCTCTACCCTGCCCGCTCTTAACGGCATCGTTCATGGTCAGGTTGACTGTCTTGGGAGCTTTGCCTTCATCTCGCCCAGTCCCTGTCCCATACCCTTTAACTCCGCTTCTCCTGTCGTTGAGGTCATATTTGCCGGCTTCGATATTCTGATATATTCTTTCTGCCACCTCGAGGAACGCTTTCTCGACTCCCTCTCCGCTCTTAGCACTTGTCTCAACATATTTGACCACGTTTTCTCGTCGACACCAGTCCTCTGCCTCTTCTCGGCTCACGGCTCGCTTGGTGCCTCCCTGCGTATCAGTGCTCTGTTCCGCCAGGTCCAGCTTGTTGCCCACCAAAATGACGACGATACCCTCCTCGGCGATCTGACGAAGGTCATTGAGCCATTGGGTGACCGACTCAAAGCTGCTTCTTCGCGTGATGTCAAACACTAACAATGCCCCAGATGCACCTCGGAAATAGCTTCTTGTTATGCTTTTGTATGTCTCTTGACCCGCGGTGTCCCAAAGTGAAAGCTTCATCTTCTTCTGCTGTTGAGGATTGGCATGGCCGACTCTTCCATTTGGAGCGCCGATATCTAAGGATGCGTTCGCAGGAGGACCAACAGGAACTATTCGACTCCCAAACTCAACACCAATGGTGACATCATGTGAGGCGGAGAATCTTCCTTCGCATAACCGGATGGTCAGGCTCGATTTGCCAGTTCCTTGCCCTCTGTTAGGGGGGTTTGTCACCAAGGGACTGAAGGAGCTGCTCACCAGAATCCCCTATACAGACCAATTTGGCTATGTAGTTCCAGGGGAGCGCAGGGACCGGTGTTGGGGTGGGCATGGGAAAGGACAGGAGTGCGTCTGCTAACTTAGTAGAGGGTGGATCTCGATATCGTTTGATCTGACAGTAGATTCGGTCAACCCTATGCGCAGGTGAAAGGATCAACTTAGAAACAATAACGTTGGGGGAGTGGAATAGACAGAGTCTGGTGACAAAAAGATGAATGCTGAGCGGCGAACGACTTGGGCCCGATGACGATGACCACGCTTGTAGGAAGCTTGTGAGGAGAGCGCGTGCCCATTATTTGCAACGTGTATTACACCAGTAGTAACAAGCTGCCTGGAAGCCTGTGCACTTTGGGAGCTCCACAGCCTGGAACTTGCCCCAAGCACCCACGGCTACCCACTGAATCCAGGCTAAGCTAGGCTGGGCATACACAACTACTCCATCGAGTTTCCTGCGTGCCTGGTCTTTGTTCCCCATTTTCGACTTGACCTGCTGAAGGTTGGACTCATATCCCCAAACCACCAACTCACCACCACGTCTCCTTGTGCAACCGCACATCCAACTGATATCTACGACATATTCTAGCTCCTCATTCAACTCACCTAGTCCACATCTGTCAATCAAGAAGGATTTGCTTTGGTACCATCAGTTATTCGTGCTTATCAACCCAGTATACTCACCGACTGATACACCGCGTGGTGACTGCCTGCGGGCAGCATGTTCTCCGAGTGTGAGCCAGAATCTCACCACTCCTGCCTTGAATGCAAGTACTGATGTTTCCCAAGACGCCTCCAGATTTCTCGCACAGTCTCAATCCCGTCTTAGTTTCGCGCCGACACCTGCAGACGACCGTCGGTCTGGTGAGGGTCGGGCAACAAGAAGACCGAACCAGACGTGGAGATCAACGACCACTTCCAGAACGCTGAATCCCCGCGTCCCAAATCCTTACCAGCCGACATCTTCCCAGCTGTCCGCCTTTCCGTTCGCTTCTCGCCTCAATCCACAGCAGGCACCTTTGTTCTATAGCGCTACCGACGAATTCCGAGAAGAAAATGATGAGGAGGAGCACGAACGAGAGATAGCCGATTACTATGCTCTCCAGAGATCAAGACGACAATTAGGGGCCAGTGATTTGCATGCTTCCTCCGACGTCGATGCTGGGAGTGGCTCCAGTCTCAATGGCGCCAGTAGTCACGGGGAAGATCCTCGTGATCGAGGCACGGGCAGGCCTGGAGGTATCAGGAGCTCATGGCATGGTGGCGCGCCAAATCCACGCCGGAAAAGAACGGATTTGACTGATCTTGCAGAGTCAGGGGAATCACAACCCGAGAGTCCGGTGTCGGAAAGGAACACGATGGTTGATGTGGGATTAGAAGACACTTTGAGGAGCGAGTATGACGACGATCCACCCGAAGATTTAATAGAGAATCCCCCTTCAGTTCAACAATTGCGCAAACAAAAGCCGAAAGCAGAAGACGAGTACGACTCAGCGGAATCTGACCAAGGTGATGTGCAGGGACGACTGCTGGGACATTCGCGGCATCACTCTGGAGGGACTGAGTCTGTTCCAGATGGCATTCAGACTCCACAACTTCAACAACCCAGACATGATGCTTTCTGGGGTCAGCTTTATTTGCTTTCGGTTGCGGCCATGTGTGCAACCTGGTTCCTTGTCTTGCTTCATACACAATCACCGAGCAAAAAACGCCCACTCGGTGATACCGTTTACACGACTTTGCATGGATCCTTTTACCTGTTGGCGACATATACCCTTGTAGCGACCTTCGTTTCTTTGTTTTGGCTTGCAGCCCTTCGGTCATATGTTCGATATCTGGTTTACGGCATCTTGGTCGCTGTTCCGGTTATCCTCTATTCATTTTCTCTCTACCCATTGATATCCAGCTTTCAGGGATCATGGCACGGCTCAAGTATCCAGGACACTGTCATGAGATGGAGCTCATTGGTTCCTGCAGTCCTGGCCACCCTGTGGGTGCTCGCGGTCTTGAGGGGTCGGTTGGTGATGCAAAAGGCCATTTCCATTCTGGAGTTTTCGACTCGAATCCTCGCCGCAAACCCGACGTTGGTGCTCGTCGGATTTGCCGTTCTGGGGTTCATCGTCAGCTTCACATGGATTTGGTTGTCGATGTTTGCAAGAGTGTTTCTCGGGGGCCACCCGTCTACTCGATCAACGATCAGCAAGTTTGTGATTGACACATCTACATGGTGGCTGGGAGTGTACTTTATTCTTGTGTACCTCTGGACAATCACCATTGCATTTGGCATGCAGCGGACGATTACATCGGCCACGGTATCGCAGTGGTACTTCCATCGATTGGCAGTCCCAGCTCCCACACCTCAAGTCATTGTGAAGGCTGCGTTGCAACATTCAGCGACGACACTCTTCGGCACCATAGCGCTATTCACGGGCTTAAGTCTTCTGGTCCGACTACCATTGATCGTCCTACCTCGGCGGTTGACAATGCTCATTGGGGTGGCAATGTACTCATTCATCCCAAGCCCGATCGCCGTTTTGATCAATCCACTCACCCTTACCTACGCTGCGATTCATTCCCAGCCTCTGGCCGTGAGCGCCAGAGGACTTTCGCAGATGCATTTCCTCGCCCCTAACGATGCTACGACAGCCTTGCACCCAGGTACATTCAGTCGCCGCCGGAGAAACGACGGTTGGTCTAATGATTCCACCCCCCTTCTTCCGTATCGACTGGCCAAGCTCCTCCTCCATGCGACAAGGTTTATCATGTGTTTGGCCCTGGGCTTTGGTGGATGGGTCACTACAGCACGCACTCTCAGGCTGGACGGAGCTGGGGTTCGCGGAAGCCTATACGCTTATATCGTCGGGCTCATTGCCGGGGCCATAGGTTGGGGAATCCTGGGTGCAATGGAAGGAGTCCTAGCATGTATCGTCGATGCAGTGGTGGTGTGCTGGGGAAGTGAAGTCGGCAGCACTGGGACTGGAGAGGTGCGGTATTGTAGAGAGGCGGGAAATCTGTTCCGCGATGACGGAGACACAAATGGTGGCCGCATCAATCTGGTTTGATATGGGGACTGACCACAGCTGAATGTCGGCATGAGTAAAGACAGGATCAAAGTAGACAAAACCGTGGGCTGATACATTGGAAACACAATGAGACTCTTTAGCGAATGCACATTCTTTTCACGTGTCAACAATAGTGCAGGTGGATGCCCGGTTTCCCCCCTTTTTTCCCTTTTCGCCCGAATTGTGCCAAGGTGGCTTTCGACACGTTGGCTGAAGTCGCCCCGGCTTTGCGCATCTGGCATCTTGCAGACTCGATGTTCCAACTCTCCTGAAGTTGAATTAATTTTCTCTTTTTAAGGCCATCTGGTCTAAGGGCAAGCCTTTCTCCTTCTCTTTTACACTTTCAGCCTTCTTCCCTTCGATGGTGATTCTTTCGTTCTCTTCCTAATTATTTCTGCTTCTTTCACGACACGCGTTTCCAGGGCCACTTTTCAACCCGCCCGGCTGTCCACCTACTTTTCTCTAGATTCACCGTTACACTGCTTTCTGGAACCTGAGACACCTCTCCTCTCTGCAACGAGTCCTGTCCATCTTTCCTTCTTGTTCATACCCATTCTACGATCATGGCCGCTACAAATAGTGGTCGGGCGACCGGCGCAGGGCAAGACGAGGCTGAACTCCGTCGCAGGAATGTTGCCAACTATGAAAAGGCCAATGGACAACATGTTTACAAGCTCGAGGCTGAAGACACAAAGAAACTGCAAAAGGTTGGGCTTCCATTTGACAGATGATATACTGAACATACCTCTGATGTTGTCTCCAGCCGCAGACGAGTATTCTACAATTCCTCGACGAGTGGGAATTTTTGATAGCTCCCATCATTTTTACAGCATTTGCCTTGTTCACGAGGCTCTGGCGGATAGGACTCTCTCCCATTGTCACCTGGGACGAGGCCCAGTAAGTAGGACTCATCTCGTACCTGAGCTCGTTACTAACACCTCCAGCTTTGGCAAATTCGGATCACACTACCTGAAACGGGAATTCTACTTCGATGTCCACCCTCCCCTCGGAAAGATGTTGGTGGGCTTGTCCGGATACCTGGCCGGCTACAATGGATCATTCGAGTTCAAATCCGGAGAAACATATCCCGAGGACGTGAATTACACCTTCATGCGCATCTTCAACGCCATGTTCGGTGTCGTAACCGTCCCCCTCGCATACTACACAGCACGCGAACTGAACTTCAAACGAAGTGGTGTGTGGCTTGTCACTCTGATGGTCCTCTGCGAAAACTCCTACGCCACCATCTCTCGGTTCATTCTACTCGACTCGATGTTGCTCTGCTTCACCTTCACCACAATTTTGTGCTGGGCAAGATTCCACCGACTTCAGCACAAGAGTTTCTCCGTGGAATGGTTCATCTGGCTTTTCCTGACTGGTTTGAGCATTGGATGTGTCTGCAGTGTGAAATGGGTGGGTCTTTTCGCCACGGCGCTTGTTGGACTGTACACCGTCGAAGATCTGTGGAACAAGTTTGGCGACCTGAAGATGCCCAAGGTGGAGCTTGCAACCCATCTAGTTGCTCGCGCCGTGGGCTTGATCATCATTCCCATCATAGTCTACATGTTCTCCTTCTGGGTTCACTTCTTGATCCTAGAGAACTCGGGACCGGGTGATGCGCAGATGTCTTCCCTCTTCCAAGCCAATCTCCGCGGAACCGAAGTTGGGAGGGACTCGCCGCTTGAA